GCATTATATTTTCAAGCAAAGCAAAACTTTGCACCTTCAGTGCCTCCAGCATTTAGTAGCTGCCTGCATCTTAAACTCTAGGTATTTTCGCAGGTGTTTGCCTATACTATATTATATTTATAGATTTTTTATTGTTGCATGAGAGTTAAATAAGCTTAACAGTTTGGGCAGTGCTTTTACAAAGTAAATGTCCTTTTTTTTCCCCCTGGTTTTGTCCTATTTCCAGGCAGCAAAAATGGCTGCAACCTGACTAAATTATTGTGATTTTTGTCATATGTGATCAAAGATGTGCTTGCATTTCATAGCCAGCGGAGGGGAAGGGATTTGCATGTATATATTTTCCATTCCGGAGTTTAAAGAGTTACTAACCCACAACAGTAAAATCAGTCTGTATATGCAGTAAAGCATGCTTGTTATATTCACTGTGGAACCTAAGGGGTATCCTCCGCATTGTGTAAAAACACTGTTTGATCCTGACTTTTCTGATCCTCCCCTTCTTTCAGTGTCCCCCTCTATGTCCTAATAAGAGATATCATGTGGAGACACTCTACACATGCTCAGTTTGGTATGTATTGCTAGAGAGGTTTTTGTTTTTTTCTTGGGAGAGTGCATGTGATCAGCACAGGGCCAATCAGACAGAGGTCAGGGGTCCTGCATCCTTCTAGAGCAGAATGAAAACTCCCCCTGCAAGCTTTAACATGTGCTCGGCATGACATTGATAGAAGTCACAAGACTGCTCTAACTGCTGATGAGAAAATGTATTTAGCAGTTTATGTTTACTAAAATAATTGCATTTCCATGATCTGTGTACTGTGGGAGACCAGATATAGTGAATGCAGGGTCCTGGGTTTCATAACACTTTAATTTTCCGCACTCATAAGGGTGAGTGGGTACATAATTTTCTGTCCTAAATCAAAATCCAAATTATACGCACAAATTAAGTGAACGGGCACAAAAGGAGGAAAAGCAAACTCAGTAACTAGCATAGGGAAATCCTCCTGTTTTGTATCCATTTCAGAAGTGTTTATGTTTTCAGGAAGTTCCACTGATAAAATATAGAAAGAACTCTCAAATTTGCATTACGGTACTGTGGGGGAGCAATAAGAGGGGGTCTAATATGTGTTGCGGTGTATTAGTAAGGATCTTGCCTTGTATGGAAATACTGGAAACCGGCTTAAGTGTTTGACTGTATCATGTTAAAAGTTCATGGCATAAACAGTTAATAGATCACTGGATGAATACCAATGTTAGCTTTCTGTATTAGTGAGTGAAAAAGTGAGTTACTGAAAGCAAAGAATCAAGATTCAACATTCGAGATTCATCGCAGCGGCTGGTGTACAGTGCGATCTGGCTGAGATCAACGCTGTGATGTTACATTGAGCTCAGTGGATCACACTTTTTTTTGCCACAAAGTCATCTCATCAAGTTCAGTTGCCGGCTGCACTAAGCAAGGCAGTGGATTGCCTCTCACAGCGCTGTGCTGATAAAAAAGTATTGCGTGCAGTACTTTTTCTCAGCACACTATGCCTGCACACCACTACCATGCAATGCTATGAACGAGGGACATAGGAGACAAGGCATTTTACCCTGTCCATGGAATTAGCCATCCAACGCAGTCCCTCCGCATCTAGTGTGAATATACCCTTAGAGTGGAACAAGTTGAAACAATAAAGTCTTTGACATTTCATTTGGCCTTCTCCCTGATCTATTACACTTGTATTTCTGAACTTGAGTGATTGTCCTCTTCTGGGTGATCTCTGTTTTTGTGGTGAGTACTTCCAACAGCTGGAGGGCCATAGTTTGGAGACCCCTGAACGATTGCATAGAACTAATGTTAGGGTGAATTTTGTGATTGTAGCAAAGCTATTGTATGCTGAAATGCAGCTACCATATACTGACCTATTACACTTGGATTTCTGAACTTGGGTGAATGTCCTCTCCTGGGTGATTTTCTGTTTTTGTGGTGACCTGCTGAACTGAAACAGTTGGGCTCAAGTAGTGACTTAGTCCACATTTTAATAACCTCTAAAAATCCATGTCCAGTGCCGCTCTGCTACTGCCTCTTGGATTCACCATGGAGGCAGACCTGTTCTGCAATGTATGTAGGGTCTTGAAACTATGGCTGTCCAGGTGTTGAGGAACTGGAAGTCCCATGAGGCCTTCAAGACTCTTTCAGCAACAGTCAAGACTCCCAGAGGCAGAGGCATGATGGGACTTGTAGTACTTCAACAGCTGGAGGTCCATAGTTTGGAGACCACTGAACAATTGCATAGAACTAATGTTAAGGTGAATTTTGTGATTGTAGCAAAGCTACTGTATGCTGAAATGCAGATCCGTATACTGACCTCTTACACTTGGATTTCTGAACTTGGGTAAATGTCCTCTTCTGGGTGATCTCTGTTTTTGTGGTGACCTGCTGAACTGAGCTAGTTGGGCTAAAGTAATGACTTTGTCCGCGTTTTGATAACCTTTGAAAATCCATGTCCAGCGCCCCTCTGCCACTACCTCTTAGATTCACCATGGAGGCAGACCTGTGCTGCAATGTATGTAAACGATTGCATAGAACTAGTTAGGGTGAATTTTGTGATTGTAGCAAAGCTACCATATACTGAAATGCACTGGTAGCTTACTTACTGATTTTCTCTTGCTGCCTGAAATTGGCTTTTTCAATCCTATTACTTTAATACTACCGCTGAGTGGTTATAATTCAAGCACTTAGACAGAGGGTACGTTTAGGAAATTCTTACTTCTTAGTACTGTGTTTTTGCAATGTCCTTCTTTTACGACAGTCCAGGAGGCTACATTGCCATTTTTTGGTCAAATATTTTTTTTATTGAAGAAACTGTTCAACATACAGTACTTGCATACAAATATATTCAGATACAGTGTTGTTACATTAAAACCTATAGCGCTGTGTAAACTGTTTGCGCTATATAAATCTTGTATAATAATAATATTTGAACAAGATAGTTATGATCAAAATAAAACTGTGGATTTGCAATACCCCCATAGCATGCAAGATGCCTAGAGGCGGTTGCAAAAATAAAGAATTAGAGACATCATTCAAAACAGAAAACTTTGAAGTACAGGGAAACTTGAAGAAGGGAAAAGATGGAGGAGTGAGCCAATTACTCCGCAACTAAGGCTTGGAAAGTGGAAGAATCACTAAAGTCCACAGTTCCCACTGCCATGATTTCGATTAGTATCTGGGCCCATTCCAAGAGGTGGGGCAGGGAACTATACATTGCCATGTTTTAAAATCTACCCGACTACCCATATTAGAAGCTGGAAATCACATGTTTAGATGTAATAACAACAATAATACGCAAACAGGGGCGGACTGACCATTTGGAAACTTGGGCATTGCCCGAGGGCCCGGGGTCAGTAGGGGGCCCCATGAGATGCCCCTGGTACCTTTTTCATAGGCTTTTTTGAGTTTGGGCATGGACACAGGGGCCCCATGAACCCCTATTGCCCGGGGGCCCCATGAGTTGTCAGTCCGCCCCTGTACGCAAATTAGGCATATCTTAATGGGAGGTTGCATACAATGCTTAGTTAAATCTCAGGATGAATATGGTGCGGTATGCTTGGAGAAGGTTGTACTGTAATATTTATTCAAAGGGAACAAATAATGTTTTTTCTGCATATTTTCTTTTTTTTCTTCTTCTTTTCAGAGTTTTAGCTAGATGTGACACATTGCATAGGAATACATGGGTAGTGCATTTGTACTTTAGTTACTGATACTTTTTTATTGAATACTATATTTTCTTTACATTATTCATATGCAGTTTACTGCTGGATAATATGTGTTGTGTTCTTCAAAAAGTGGACATAGAAAATATATATATGTGATATATGCATACAGTTATTCTTGGTGCTCAGAGCAAATTATGCCATGTACTATGCATCTATATTGTTACTTTTATATTAGTGTGATTGGTACTTGTAAAAATATTACTAACTAGCTCTTATATATAATTGAATTGAAAGCATATCATAAAGCTTTGTTTTAAATTTTTAGTCTTGGCTGCTGGATTATTTCACAAGGTCATGTAAAGAGAAGTATCACAGAGTACATAGAGCATAGCAGGGTGAATCAAATGTAGGACGATGTGATGAAATATAAAGTGGTTGATGTACAACTGAGCTGTATGACATGCATATGATGAATGCTGTGCCATGCTGGGTAATGGGCTATATCTGAAAAGTTATTGCCTATCCAAATAAATATGTACATTTATATAATATATTCGTCACCATTTAACCTATCTGCATTAAATAATAAAGTTACAAGCTTATTGAGCTTTAATTGATAGAATTTCATGGCCAAATGACAAAACCTACTTTGGCATGTACGGTATATGACACTGCTGCTTATTTTTTCTGGTGCATTGCACATAACTGGGCATTTTTCTGGGTGGTGCGTTAGTTTTTGGTGTTATTAATTAGGTGTGGTATTTTTTGGCACAACAATTTTAAAAATGATAAACACCTGAAAGAACAGGTTTTGGTGCCAAAAAATGAATTTATCTCACCAAAAAAAGTCTAAATCCAGAAAAGACATAAATAAGTAAAAAATACCATAAACAGCGCTCACTAATGAGATGCAATACTATCCCCAAAATCAGATGAAATACAAAATAATAAAAAATATGTATAAATAAATCTAAATCTAAAAAATACCGAAGCAATAAAAATAAATAAATAATAACACTTCCACCAAACAGTGCAAAAAGTGAAAAAAATTAGTTCATAATATAATGTGAAAAAAAATCAGTTCATAATATAAAGTCCAAAAGTATCCACCACAACCGTGATCTCCGATGTGGTCAACACCCCATCAAAGTGCAAACTCACCAGATGCTGGTGTTTAACCACCTTCCGCCTGCCCTATAGTACAATAACGGGCGCAAGGTGGTTCTCTCGTTCTGATAGGATGTCATATGACGTCCTACCATTCTCACTGCGCATGCGCGGCTCAGGGAGCGTGCAGCGCGGCGATCGCCAGTGCGCTGTGTCTCTCGGACACAGCGGATCAGGGAAAGAGCCGAAGATGTCGGCTCGGTCATGTGATCAGCTGTGTCCAATCACAGCTGATCACATGTAAACATGGAAAATGCAGGTTATCGGCATTTCTCTCCTCTCGAGCTGTCATGCTGACAGCTTGAAAAGGAGAGGAGAGCCGGTAATCGGCTTTCCACGGAGGGGACATGTACACTGATCATCAGGGCACTGATGATCAGTGTGCCCTGATGATCAGTGTGGCCCCAGAAGTGCCACCTGTCAGTGCCCATCAGTGCCATGTGCCAGTGCCCATCAGTGCCATGTGCCAGTGCCCATCAGTGCCACATATCAGTGCCCATCTGAGCTGCCTTTCAATGTCACCCATCAGTGCCAGTCAGTGCCACCTATCAATGCCAATCAGTGCCACCTATCAGTGCTGCCAATCAGTGCCACCTGTCAGTGCCAGTCAGTGTCGCCTATCAGTGCCAGTGCCAGTCAGTGCTGCCTATCAGTGCTGCCTATCAGTGCCGCCTATCAGTGTCATGTATCAGTGTCATGTATCAGTGCTGCCTTTCAGTGCCCATCAGTGATGCCTGTCAATGCCCATCAGTGCAACCTACCAGTGCCTCCTCATCAGTGCCCATCAGTGCCACCTATCAGTGTCCATCAGTGCAGCCTATCAGTGCCCATCACTGTAGCCTCATTAGCGCACATCAGTGAAGGAGAAAAATCACTTATTTACAAAATTGTATAACAAAAACTAAGAAAAAATGTTTTTTTTTTTCAAAATTTTCAGTGGTTTTTGGTTTGCTTAAGAAAAAATAAAAATTCCAGAGGTGATTAAATACCACCAAAAGAGAGCTCTATCTGTCTCAAAAAATGATAAACATTTCATATGGGTACAGTGTTGCATGACCGCGCAATTTGTCATTCAAAGTGTGACAGTGCTACAAGCTGGAAATTGGCCTGGGCAGGAAGGGGGTATAAGTGCCCTGTAGGCTAGTGGTTAATCAGCATTAAATCAGATACCAATAGATTTGGAAATTCATTAAAACCAGATCGATTCAGATGTAATACTGATCACTCATCAGATGGTTAATTCAGCTCAAACTGCATCAGGGTAAGTATAATTAAAAATTTTTATGTGGGTAAATAAAAACACTCGCCATGGCATAATACCATTTATAAGTTTTATTGCCAACAAATACCCCCCTTAAACTAAAGCTCACATTGTATAAAAAAGCATTCAGTAATATATGTAGCTGCAGAAAAAAACCGCTAGCTATTTCAATCCAGAAAACCCTGACCAACATACCATTAACTGCTTACAATATGTACCACCAAAAGAAAACTTAGATTAGTACTAGTAGTATTTTTTTTAATTACAACATCCACCTTAAAAAAAAAAAGAAAGAAAAAAAAGTGGCCAAGCACTGCTGACTGCTAACACTGCGACATTTTTCTGACCACTGACCAGGAGACAAGACTATGCTACATACTCCTGTGCCTTGTGCTGAGTGTTCTACTCCTGATCTCTGCATTCTACAAGCTATGTTGTACATTACATACTATGGACTGCTGCACTCAACGTGCTGTGATTTATGTTTGTATAGTTCTAACAGCTGTGCTGTCAATAGCATACTCCTCAGCACAGTGTTTATTGTCTCAATGATTACTGGTTGCATGTAGTACCCAAATATTTTATTGAAGTTTTTTTTTAAGGTAAACAGTGTTAGCTGTCTTCATTTATTCAGTGTAATGAGTTTCACTTATAAAAAAAAATCTTTATTTTGCTGAGGTTTATGTGCCACTATAACTAAGGTGTATTTTGTAAGTACAATGAATGTGGCAACTGTGTGTGGTATATATTGTAAGCTCACACTCCATTTTATTACCCCAATATTCAGCATAGTTGAAAGATGCACATGCGCTGCGCACGCCATAGGTCATGATCTCCTTGAAGCGTCCCTCATTGTCGAGTTCTAAAGTTGGTTCTGACTATGAAGGACTGCTCACCTGGCTGCAGATCACTTGCCCAGCTACCTCTGCTTCATCAGGAGGGGCCTTTCTGAGTGGCTGAGAGAGGGAAACTAAAGAACCTCTCTTCTCTGGGCATGTCCAGGAACACAGGGATTTCTCTAATTATCATGACACTAAAGTCATAAACCTTATTATTTTCATTAAAATACTCTACTTACCTGCTTGGTGCAATGATATTGCACAGAGCAGTCCCTTACCTCTTCTTTGGTGGTCCCCTGCTGATGTTGTTCACTTCTCCTCTTCTACAAGTTCCCACTCAGTAGGCCGTGTGCTAAGGGCACACACATGCTCTTCAGGTGGGGTGTATGCATCAATAGGCACACATAGTGCAGCTTGGCCACCCACCCCACTCCTTACCTCCTCACAGGACATGACTGACAGTAGCAGGCACCAATGGTTCTCAGTGTACCCTGTGAGAAGAAGAAGAAAGGGCACCGCTGCTACTGGACAGCTCTGGAATGAGCAGGGCAACTGATAAGGGGGTACGACCAGTCCTCCTGTATGGGCCCGAGCACACAGGGGGGCCAGGTCAGGACAGGGAGGGTGATTGGTGTTGCAGGGGGGCAATTACAGAACAATGCCCCAATACCTCATTTACACACAGAACAGCCTCTCCACTTTCCTATAAAAAAAAACTGACCACACTGACTACATGAGAGCAAAGCGTGGTCAGTTCTCTAGCTGTTCTGGGAACGTAACTCAATGTGCTCTCCTCCAGTGATCAGACTCCTGCTCACACGCCTCCTCCCCCCCCCCCCACACACACACACACACACACACACACACACACACACACACACACACACACACACAGCCATTCACTGGTAAATTCAGTGTACTGCTGCTTCTCCTCCCCCAACACACTGTTCTCAGCTGTGTAAGGTGCTTAGAGGGTATGTGATCACTTATAAAACAGGGAAAAAGGGTATTTATAAGTATTTATAATGTTTTCATATCTATACACTATTGTTTTGCTTTTCATTTCTATTTTAAAGTGAGGGTTTGCATATACTTTAATGTAGAGTATGCATTACGGAAAAATCCTTTTGCGTTTAGAACTACTTTAAATAACGGTATTTTACTGTTGTTTTGTGTGTGTGTGCTATTTCTCAGTAGCAGTACGTCTGAAAACGTTTTACAGATCTGTGATTTTTTTACATACCAGTGGTTCACTCTATGTTAAAGGACCAGAAGACACCACAATGTTCTAAATGCTACTAAAATATTGGGATAATTTGCATTTAAGCTTTTCAGAAATAAAAAAAAGATATTTGTGAGGAAGCCAGTAAACGAGCATGCAGAAGAGGCCCATGCAGACAGAGGGAAAACCCAGGTGCCTTAGACGTGGCCCACTGTCTCCCTCTGTGCAACTTGCCGCATTTTGCCCATTTTGTAGCATGTCAGGGATTTTCCATGTACTGCAATGCTCTCTGTGTTACTCCTCTCTCTGGTAAATTATCTCTTCCTGAGATTAGCAGTATAGTCCCAGCCCAATGTCATTGTGGCGCTCATTTTGCTCCAACTTTCTCTTCACTGCGCAGGACTGAAATTTTCAGTCTGTTAATTTCTAATTGGCTGCATAACTCGGCATAATGTACTTCAAGGCACAAAAATTAGCTGCTATTGTGTGATCCTCTGGAAGTGTCAGGGTGTTAGAGAGTCTGTATATTGCCCTACAGAACAGTCCACATGTGTTTATCTGCTGCTTCTCTGCTAACAGAAAACAGGAACTTTATTATACAGCGAAATGACATGTAGAGTTTATCAAAGATGCAGTTACAAACTTATAAACACTGCCATCTACTGGTTGAAGAATATATCTCTACTAAATACTGAGGTAGTTGTTGCACAAAATACATGAACACTGTATTTCAACACCCCCACTCAACAATTTCTCCTTATATTGGTTTCTCATCTCCTGTCTATAAATCTGTTTCAGTTCACTAAGAGATGTAATCTCTTCATCAGCTGTGATCCACTTTTGTTTCTCATGGGTTGGAAGTTTTCTGGCTCTGGTTTTAATGCTACACAAGAAACACAGGGCAGACGTTTGGCTGGCATGCCTTTATTGCTTCTGGTGGATTTTCTGATTGAAGCCTTTTGTGGCCTGGATTCCTCTTTTACAGCATTTGGATTGTCAGTGTTAATTTTTATTTCTGTGTGACTTTGTTGCTTATCTTCATGTGATGCTGATGTGGAATTCCCCTCTGTTTGAAGCCTTTGTATTATTTTGTGAAATTTTGAACACAGTGAAGTTCATCAACAATTGCATGTCTACTGATGGTTACCTCATTTGTGTCTTGGTGTAGAATTCTGTATACCTTTTTGAGATTCACTATACCCCACATGTACACCTTTGTTTGCATAAGCATAATGGCTTTGCTTCCAAAACTTTTCTAGATGGTTCAAATTATGGGCATTTCCATTTCACAGTTTATATGGAATTTTCTCACTTGATTTTCCTGGTACTTGATTTTGAAGATCGCATGCAGTCATAATTGCCTCTCCCCAGTATGTGGTTGGCATATCTGTATCAAACAGCATGGTTCTTCCACTCTCACATAAGAGTACGGGTCATTCTTTCTGCAACCCTGCTTTGTTCTGTGTTGTATCGTACAGAAGTTTGAAATATTATGCCATGGTTTCTGAGAATCGCCTGGGTGTTATCACTTGTATATTCAATTCTATTGTCTTTGCACAATACACTCAGCATTTGACCACTTTTGTTGCTTACTTAAGCTAAATACTGTTCAAGATTCTCTGATACTTTTGATGTGTAACAGATATAGTGTAGTATACCTGAAAAAATCATCTATAAAACTGAGAAAATACCTCTTCTTTCCTGGAGTCTATTTTTCCATTGGATTGCAAAGATCTGAATAAATGAAGTCCAGATGCTTTTTTTTTTTTTTAGCTCTGCTGTTACTCTGCTTTGGAAAGGCTTTTCTTGTCATTTTTTTTCTTTTATACAGCATGTGCATTTCATTGTTAGATTACATGGATTAATTTGCATTCTACTTGCATAGTCAACCTCAGGTAATTTCTTTATTATGACAGGACTTCTGCGCCCAAGTTGTCTGTTTCATGTGTGAATGCAGTTTGAATGTTTTTCCTCTATGACAGCATTAAGCACTTCATTGCAGTTCAGCTGATACAGTTCATCTGTAATTTTAGCCTTTGCAAGTATGATCTCCCCTGTTGTGATGGCATAACTGACACCTTGGAAGGTCACTACATTTCCTTATTTTGTGAGCTTCTTCATTGGCAAAAGATTAGCTTCAATTGCAGGGATTACACAGTATCTTTCTGTTGACACTCTGATAAATAGGACAGTAAAGAAAACCATATCCTATTCTGACAGATTTCATCTATGCCTATTAGCTGTGGTAATGTTTTCTGTTTTACTCTGGTCAAGATGAATAAAGAAATTTCTGTCATTTGTCAAGCACCCTTTGTAATCCTTACCACATTT